ATGGAAGTGACTAGGGGCCTTGTGACGCTTGGGGGAAATCGCCCAAGGCACGTTGGCTAAATCCCCGCCATCCCTTAGCTTCCTGCCACCTGTCAGTGAGAGGGCGTTCCAGCTTCACCAGGTGATGGGACGGGACAAGCAGGTCGTGGGCACTGCACGCATGTCCTCGTCCAGTTGAAACTGGTCACAGAGCTCTGCGGGTTGGGAACTTCCTGCGCAGGTGGATTTCCTGTGGCTCAGAGTTCTGGAGGCGAGAAATCCAGGATGGAGGGGTTTTCCTGCTGTGCTGCAAGACGGCAGGTGTCACAAGGTGAGTGTGTCGGGGAGAGACACACACAGACGAGACGCCAGGTAGATATGGGAGACGGATATCTAAGACTGACAGCAAGGTGTGGATGATGGAGATGATAGAGGCTGAACTCATTCCTTATAACCCCATCACGCCCCAGACAGCAAGCTCACTGCGAGACAATGAGCCTGTGGCGTAACCCTCAGGACCCCCTGCCCCCGCCGTCCCCCCTGCCCCTCCTACCACTGCTGCCATGGAGACCGAGTCTCCAGCACAGGAGCCCTGGGAGAGGTGGTGAGCCCTAACAGTGTGTATGGCCATTGCAAGTGGAACCCCTTGGAATCTTCTAGAGGTTAGTGAAGGGTTTTCAGAATACCACATCCACTAGAGATGCCAAGTGACACAGAAGTCCCTGTGGTGGGATGCTGGCTCTCTCCCCCAGCAACCCCTCCCGCTGTTTTGTGTTTTGGTTCTGAGGGCATCGTTACAAACCTCCCTTTATGCCAGTGGTTGTGTGTCAGATAAATGCACTCAGTGCTGATTGGCCAAGGACGAAGCGTCCCAGCATCCCGTTTCCATCCGCCAGGTGAGAACTGTGTCACTTCTCTCCCTGCTGTCGGTAAGCCAAGGTGCATGAGTAAACAAGCGATTCTCGTGCTGCCGACCACAGACAACCTTCGCCTTGGCCTCTGTGCAATTCGAGAGGCAGGTCCTGCCCGCTGCGCCTCCCATCTCTTCTGCCTTGGGGGCCGTTCTTTCACTTTCATGTGATTTCGGAAAGACACGTTCAAGATGGCTTCTGCAGCCGCCGTGGTTGAGTCTGCTTGATCCTAAGAGGTCGAAGTTCTTGCCTTGGTCTGTGTCAGGCTGAGTGTGCAAACACCGTGCTTGTGGAGCGAGTGCCCATGCCCGCGCCTCCTCCTGTGCCAATGCTGCGCTCCCGGAGCCAGCGCCCGGGCCCACAGATCCTCTTGTGAGAGTCCCAGCTTTAGAGAAGGGTTTCTGTTCACCTCCAGCTCCTGAGAGTCTCAGTTTCCCTCTGAAGATGCCAAACCCATGCAGTTCTGCACCCAGCATCCACCTACCGTTGTATCTTTTAAGAAAGACTGATTAATTTGAAAGTCAATGAGAGAAAGAGAGAGAGAGAATGAGATCAAGCTTCTACCTGCTGGTTCACTTCCCAGATGGCTGCAGTACCAGAACTGCACCAGTCTGAAGTCAGGGCCAGGGGCTTCTTCTAGATCTCCCATGTGTGCATGAACCCAAGTTCCTGAGTTTTTCTCTGCTGCTTTCCCAGGCCATAAACAGAAAGTGGCAGAGCTGAGACTTGAACCAGCACCCCTCGAGGATGCCAGCACCTCAGACAGAGGCTTTACTTGCCACACCACAGCAATGGCCCTCCCTGCACAATCTTGGCTTACTGGGAAGGCCAGACTGTCGCACCCCGGGGTGAGGGACTAAGGTGGGGCCGGTCCTCCTTCCAGCAGTGCTGGCTGGTGCACTGGCTCTGCTGGCACTGCAGGCTGCATCCGAGCACCCCTTTAATGTTTTCTTAGAAGTTGCCTCAGCATGTGGCACCGGGTCTGTGATAGTCAGCTGTTGCTGCATAGCTGGTTATCCCCAAACATTGACTGAAGACATTTGTCATAATTTGATTTCTCTTGCCCTTTATTTTTTTCCTGGGGCTGTGCCTCAGCCAGGACACCGGAGCATGATGGAGTCTGGGAGCCGGTCCCACATGACTAACCAGCTGGTTCTACAAAGCTGGCCTCCTCGCCACAGCAATCTGTATGCTTGGGAATTGGTTACTGGTCCCCCTCCCTGGCCCCCAGCATGTGATCCAGGAATGGGAGCCTGGCAGGAGCCCTGGCCTCAGCTGCCTGCTCCGGTTGGGTATTGCTCAGGGCGTCTGCGGAGCTGGGTCCTGAGTGTGGTGGCAGTGGGACCTGGCAGAAAGTGGTCAGGTCACTGGGCCCCTGCTCTGGGGGGACCTCAGGTGTTTTTGGTGGGCCTCCGTTAGCCTCTGCCGGGGTTGGGCCAGCTCCGCCTCTCAGTCATGCACGTTCTCTGCCTCCACAAGTCCCCTCCTCACGTGTGCTGCCACTGCGAAGTCTCCTAACACCCCAAGCTGTAGCCAGGAGGCCCTCGTGGGAGCTGACGCTGGCAGAACCTCTTTTCTCTGCAAAGCCTCAGGGCCCTGGCCAAGTGTATTCCCAACAAACCTCACTCATTGGCAGCAGACTGCAGAGAGGGATGCAACTAGTGGGTGCTTACATATATTTGCATGTTTATTTATTTTATTTTGAAAGAGGAGATAGAGAGCAAACAAGAGAGATCTTCTCCCCTTGCCAGGCTGAAGCTGAGAGCTGGGTACTCCACACGGGTCATCCACATGGGTGGTGGGAACACATGTGCTTGAACCGCCACCCGCTGCCTCCCGGGGTGCCCATGGCAGGAAGCTGGAGTGGAAGTGGAGCTGGGACACTGTTCCAGACAACATCTTACCTGCTGCATCCGATGCCCCCACCCGGAGGGTCACTCTGAGATCTCCACGGAGCCCACCGTTGGATGGCTCAGCTTTACGCACAGCTGCCCAAGACCACCAGGTACTAGATTCTCCATCCTGGCCACACCCATGTGAGTGTCATCTTTGCATTTACTAATAGAAATCAGCTTGGTTTTCTCTGACTTTGCAGTCCGTCCTTGCCCTGACTTAGAGCTCAGGGTATCAGACCTGCCCTCTCCTCCCGCACAGACGACCTGGGCAGAGGAAAGGCGCTCCAGAACCGGGAAGACGGTCAACAGGTCAAACCGGAGGCGAAGTGGGCAGCAGTGGGAGACCAGCGCGCTGCTGTCCTCGCTGTCCAAGGGGCGGGAAGCCGGCAGAGGGCAGCACTGCACTCCTGGTCCTGCCAACTCAGACGCAGGGCCTGCAGGCAGCCCCAAAGAGGACCTTAAGGACTGGTGTTGCCCACACGGGACAGGCTGTCGCTCTCTCATAGTGGGAGGGACACGTGGCATTGGGAGCACCGCCCCTCAGCATGCAACGCGGTGCAAAAACAACACAAACCCTGCAAACGTTGGGGTGTTTTACCAGACATACACACATCTATATCCGTGCAAGAAATGTGTAGTGTGTGTGTGTCTGTATGACGGCCTTCTAAACACAAATGAAAAATCTGTACATGGATTCTGAAAGTTTTGGTACGAAACAGCCTTATCTTTGAATCCCATGGTGCACAAACTCCGTGGTCTCCTGTATATATATTTAGCACTTTGTAGGCATATTCTGCAACCTCTTTTTTTTTTTTTTTTTACTTGATCACTCTTCTTGGAGGTCTGCTCGTCGTGCGGTTTTGGATGCGATTTTTAAAGTTTATTGTCATTATTTTGTTTTTTGCATTTCGTTGGACCGACGCATGATCTCCTAGGAGCCCTGTCTGAAGCACTGGGCGCTCAGCTTGCGGCAAGTTTTCCCTTCCGCGCTGCGGCGGGGATGTGCGGGAGGCATTCTTGGCGCGTGGCCGCAGGGGCCTCTCTCTGCGGTCCTCAACTCTGCGCGCACACGGGGCTGCAGCCTGTGGCCAGCTGTCCCTGCAAAGTGGCTGCGCGCACTGGCGGCTCGCGGCGTGGCAGGTCGCATTCCCGGCTGCCCAGGGCCGAAGGGCGCGGCGCGGCCGGTCCTCCCTGCCTGCTCCGGGGCCTGGGACGTGGGCTCACGCCCCCGGAGCTGCAGCCCGGGCCGGTGGCGCGGCGCCAGGAGGAGGAGCGGCTGCCGGAAGATGGTGCCGAGGCCGCGGACCTGGACACGCTGGCAGGTGGGGGCGGGGAGGGGCGCGCGGCGGGGAGCAGTGAGAAGGGGCCGGGGAGAGGAGGCCCCCTCGCCGCCGGGACGACCCCCGCTCGCCCTCGCGGGCCGCACCGCGCCTCGGGTCCCACAGACGCCACGCCAGCCCCTCGAGGACATTCAGATTCCGAGGGCTCGCGTCCCGGGGCGGCTGCGTTACCACGTCTGCGGGGGCCGGGGTCGGCCTGCCCCTGGGACGCGCTGCTGGTCCCCGCGCGGGCTCGGTGTCCCCACCCGCAGGAGGGGCCTCGCAGGCCGCCCCGCCCCGCAGGCCGGGCCTGGGCACGGTGAGCCGGGCTGGAAGAAGGCGGTGCAGCCGCGGCTGTCAGGTGCGTGCCCAGGTGTGCGGGCGGGCCGGCTTCACCTCGGCGGCAGAGATGGAGCGACGAGGCTTTTAGTTTTGTTTTTATTTCTTCTTATTTTTTTTTTTTTTTGGACGAAGCCTCTTGGCCAGGACGCTGGCCCGGGACGTGCAGACCACGACTTGGCACCCGGGAGGAGCAGCCCCCCAGCCCGGGCAAGGACGGGCGCCCCCCAACTCCGGGGCTCGTCCGCGCTCGCGCTCGCCCCCTGGCGGCGCGGCCGCGCTCCTGCCCAGAAACCACGTGTAAGAAAATGCTTACAACCTACCCACTGCGCGGCGGCCGCCCCGCCCCCCGCCGGCCTAGCCAATGCGCGGCGAGGGGGCGGGGCCCTGGAGGCCCGAGCGGCCAATAGGCGGCCGCGCCCGGGCCGGGGGCGGGGCCCGGGCGGGAGCGCGTTGGGTTTGTCGGCAGCGCTGATTACTTTTCCCGAAGGCCGTGGGGCTGCACGGGGGCTGGCGCCGCCGCCTCGCGCGCTCCCGGGCGGCCGGAGCCCAGGACCATGTGCGACGGCGCCCTGCTGCCTCCTCTCGTCCTGCCCCTGCTGCTGCTGCTACTGGGGGGCCTGGACCCGGGCACAGGTAGCGCGCCCTCCCTCCGGCTGGGGCCGGCTGGGTGCGCGGCCGAGGACGGCGGCGGGCAGGGCTGGGCAGGCTGGGCAGGCTGGGCAGGGCTGGGCGGGGGCGGAACGCTTCTCCCTGGCGCTCGCTGACGCGTGTCCTCTCCTCCCGCAGCTGTGGGCGACGCGGCCGCCGACGTGGAGGTGGTGGTCCCGCGGCGAGTGCGCCCGGACGACGTGCACCTGCCGTCGCTGGCCGGGGCCGCGGGTCTCCGACGGCGGCGGCGCCCCCCGCGCGCGCCCCCCAACGCCCCTCGCGCCCGACCCGCCGAGCGCGCCTTGCTGCTGCACCTGCCGGCCTTCGGGCGCGACCTGTACCTGCAGCTGCGCCGGGATCTGCGCTTCCTGTCCCGCGGCTTCGAGGTGGAGGAGGCGGGCGCGACCCGGCGCCGTGGACGCCCGGCTGAGCTGTGCTTCTACTCGGGCCGCGTCCTCGGCCACCCGGGCTCCCTGGTCTCACTCAGCGCTTGCGGAGCCGCCGGCGGCCTGGTACTGCCGGAGCCCCACTCCGGGTCTGCCTGCAGGGGCTGTTATGACGCTTGGGGCGGGGGTGGGAAGGTGGGCCCAAAGCGCATTCTCTCCTCTTCCTACCACTACCCCCCTAGTCCAACTTTCTGGACGCTCTGCCGTGGGGGTGTGTGTGTCATGCTCTGTCTGGATTTTCTTAGGGGCCTAAGCCCTAGTCCCCCAACCCTCTCACGCCCAGCCCCAGGTGCGCATGCAACCATCAGGCCCGTGCGTCTCGGCGGTCCGTGCCCAGGTGCGCGCAGGTGTGTGTGTCATGGGGAACGCCTGTGCAGGTGTGTGTCCTTCATCTAGTTTTGGTGGTGGACTTGGAGGTTGGGGAGCACCCCTTTCTGACTGGACCCCATTATCTCTGGCACCTGGCAAAGGGTCCCCCTGCCAGGGAGAGGGCTGCTGGAGGGCTGTGTCCCCAGACAGGTCACAGTAGCCTGGCTCTTTTAGCTTGAAAGAATGAGAGACACGGTGGTCAGAGTCGCTGTGCCCTGGCGCTGACACCCACCTCTAGCACTGCCTGCAAGGGGACCCCATCCTGCTGTGTTGGGGGCCCCTGTGACAGGTGGCCTGCAGCGAGGAGGGTTCCGGTGCCCTGGGCCTGCCTGTGCATGCTCCCCAGCTCTGGGCCACCCTGGTGCCCAGCCAAATGCCTCTCTGCTCCTCTGTGCTGCCCCCAGGGAGTACACATGGCCGGCAGATGGCTGCCCCTACAAAACCTGCTGTCAGCTCCGAGTGGGGAGCAGCAGTGGCTTCCCCCACTCTGTGCGACAGCCCGAGGTGGGGTGGGGGCAGGCGGTTTCTGATATGGCTTCGGGTCTGTCTCCAGCACCTCCGCTTGGTCCTGTGCCACTGCGCACCATTGCCCCGCAGCTGTGGTCCATCTGATCCTCAGGGCAGCTAGGAAGCCCCGGGGGTTCGGGTTTCGGGGCGGGGGTGCTGAGTCTCGGCTTCTTGGGGGCCACGGGGCATCATTTCCTCGGATGGGCCTCTCCTGAGACATGATCTGCTTAGGCTGGACTGGGAGATGTGGATGGCTGTGGTGACCTGAGGACCGGCGGCAGACATGGGAGCCCATGTGAAGCAGGGGCCAGGGCTGCGGCTGAGGGGGCTGACGGAGGAGTGAGGAAGGCTGCCACCGCCGCAGGGTTGGGGTCAGGGCTGTATCATGTTCTGGGAGGGCCTGGACGGCCCACATCATTTTTCCTGCTTTTGCCAAAGCGCCGAGATTCGAGATTCGAGGTCCCATCACTGTGCAGCACAGGGAAACATCTGAATCCCATTTGCTGCGGTTTCGTGAGTTTCTGCATAGGTCAGAGTTGATACTCGCTGGTGTAAAGTTTCCAGCGAGGAGCGAGCCGCGAAGGAGGCCAGGGTGGAGATGTGGGGAGGAACACGGCTTTGAAAGCCTGGCCTGGTGCAGGGCCCCTGGCCGTGATGGCAGCTGAGCCTGCCCTTCCCCTCGGCGCCATGTGAGGGCGCTGTCTCGTAGAGAAAGGAACTGGGCCAAGAGGCTGTCTTGGCTGTGCGCTTGCCCGTGGCCCTGCACGTCTCTAGGAATTGAGGGATTCCTGTCCGAACAGACGGCGCTGTTGTTTAGTCTGCTTGTGCATCCCTTGGGTGCGGGCTGACACACGGGGCCAGAGGCAGCTGGTGGGTCCTTGGGTGGCACAGGAGTGTGGCTCTTGGTCTGGGTGGCTGGTACTGTTGTGTGAGCCTCTCTTGGCTGTGGTGGAGACCTAAGAGGTGGAGAGGTGTGGGTGGGGGGAGTCTCTGCATTCTGGGTGGCTGGGACAGAGAGCACTTTGAAAGCAGTCTCTCCTCCTGCATCTGGGCCGCAGGGGCCTGCCAGCTCTTACAGAGCAGAGAGCCAGCATGCCAGACTGTGGGCCATACAGCGTCTGTCACAAGTGCTCAGCGCTGCCACGGACTTGGTATCAACGGACGGATAGGGCTGCTCTCCGCAGAACTGCACACGCTCACGCTGAGTGCGGAGAGTCATCGTGATTGGTGGTAAGCAGGGCGGCGTGGCGGAGCTTCCGTGCACGGTGGACGTGTCCAGGGCGGTGGAGCGGAGTGCGCCACGGGGAACCTGTGCAGGGCGGCGTGGCAGAGCTTCTACGCACGGTGGATGTGCCAGGGCGGTGGAGCAGAGTGCGCCACGGCAGACATGTGCAGGGCGGCTTAGCAGAGCATGCAGTGGCATGGCAGCATGTGGCACCTGGCAGGTTACTTCCAGGAGGTTTGGTGTCTGCTCCTTTTAGAAGATGCACTCATTAGAGCAGGCAGGTGGTTCCGTGGTTGTTCAGGGGGTGGTGAGGGTTGAGCCCTGTGCTCCATCTACGCCCACCTCTGGATGGTGGCAAAGGTGTGGGCCGGTCGGCTCGCTCTGCCCTGTCCGTAAAAGCTGTCTCAGCCGCCCTTTTTGTTTCTTCAAGCTGCAGTACTGACTGTGTTTTGCTCATGTGTCTCGTTTGCATCTTGCACTTCAGGAACTCTTTGCATACAGCTTTGTGCTGTTGTCCTTTCCTTGGATGCATTGCTTTAGCCGGTTGACACCAAAGCAGTTGAACCCCAGGCTAGGCGAAACAAGAACCTCGTGATGAGTTTGTGGGATTTGGAATCAGTTGCCTCTGTGAAGAGATGAGCTTGCCAAAGGCCGCAGAGTGAAATGTGGTTTGAGTTCACAGGTGGCACAGGAGCTGGGCAGACCCCATGCGGTTTGTCTGGGTGGGGCAGGGCTTGTTTTTGGAGAGGTGAGCTGAGAGGAGAGACAGGCAGGGAGGCCTGATGAGCAGGGCCTGTTCTTCCTTGGGCAGAAACTGGCTCTGGGATGCTGGCCCAGCAGGCCCTGGCCGTGGGCTCAGCCGCTGTCTTTGGTGGAGACCATGGCCAGGCTGGGGCACGCTGCATGTGAGCTGTGGGGCAGGCAGAGGCCAACAGGAGTCCGGGCTGGGAGATGTTGAGGCAGTGCAGTGTCTGGGCCACCCTGGTACATGTGAGGGGAGCCCAGGGACCCTCCTTCCCCCCAGCCTCTCCTGGGTTCTCAGCCGAGTGGCGCAGCTGAGCTCTTGTATGTGGCTTCGGATGAAGGAAGGCAGAGCCTGCCGGGAGCAGCCCCAGGGCTGCGACTTTCACGGTGGAAGACCGACCGCAGGTGGGAGGGTACCAACACTGCTGATGGTTGGCGGAGGCGGCCCGTGATGGAGAACAGCTGAGCAGGCCCGCGCCTCCGTCGCCATCGCAGGGTGCGGAAGGAGGCAGACAGACTGGAGTCTGTTCTCAGGTCTTGTTGCCTGGACACAGGTCGCAGAGGCATGGGTCGATGGTGGCTTCACATGGTGGGAATCCACCGCGTGCTTGAGCACACGCAGCGTGTCTTCCAAGCGCAGAGGGAGTTCTGACGGGAACCGAGACCCAGGCAGGTGTGGCGCGTGGTGGTGTTAAAGCGAGGCCTCCGCAGGACTCCTCCGCGCCCTGGAGCTTCTCTCATGGGCCCGCGCGTCGTTCTCCTTCTCCCACCACCGCTGCTCTGTGAAACTGGCTCCCCATCCTACACCTCCTAGGACACCGGGGCCCCACAGGCTCCTTTCCGTATCGCTGCCCCAGAACGTGACGTGGGGCGTGTAAATGGATCTCTTCAACTTTGAACAACTCTTTGGTTGGCAACTATTAACAGCAAGACCCAGTGCCTTCCGGGGCTGATGAACTGAGCGCGTCTGTGGAGAATGATGGCGTCTGGAAGCTCCTTCCCCAAGCTCTGAGCCGCCACAGCCGCCTGGCCTTGGATGCATGGGCGGCTCGCTCACCTTTTGGTGTGTGTGCCACCGCATCATGCTCCTGCTCCTCAGGAGATGGAACTGCACAGCTGCCAGGGCCGTGACCCTGAGCCAGGACAGCCACTGTCTTGACCCTCCGAGCCACCTGCAGCTGGACGCCAGCCTTGCGTGGCTGTGATAGTATGGAGGAGAAAGTTCACATGCAGTCGCCTGTGCCAGCCACTGGTGATGGCATTAACAGCCAGCTGCTCCGTTGCAAGAGGTGATAAAGGGCCTGATGGTCAGGCCACTGACTGAGCGCGTGGGATATCGCCTACACCTGCTGTGCAGGGCAGGCTCTGCTGGGCTCCGAGTGGGGCCCCGAGTGGGGCTCCCACAGAGGTGGGCCTTGGGCTGCGAGGGAAGGACTGTGTGTGAAGCCTGCGGGCGGTGGGGGGAAGGGGAGGGGTCTGCAGTCTAAGGGTTAGGCAATGGGCTTTAGGAGGGTGGAGTCGCGGCCAGGCCTTCGCCAAGTGCTACTGAGGGGAGGGCTGGCACAAGCTGGCTGTGGGATGGAGTCGGGGTTGTTGGAGGGGCTGGTGGGAGGTGAATGGGCAGACAGGTTGCAGGTCGGGCAGGGGGCCTGGAGCCCACCCAGGGCAGTAGGGCTTTACGCCTGCCAGGCTGTTTACTGTGGTTGTGACTCCCCTGCCTTGCAGGCTGTGACACAGCGGGGCTGGGGTGCTCCCAGGGTTGTGCGCTGCTGGCACAGGTAAACCAGTTCACTCTGAGAACCTTGGTGGCGAAGGGGTGTCAGGAGCCCTGACGAGCAGCAATAGGGGAGACTGGGAGAAGGGAAGGGTGGGGCATTAGGGGGTGCCAGGTGTGAAGGCTGAGCCTTGGCAGGCCACAGTGAGGTGCCAAGGGAGGAGGAGCCCGGGAGGTTTCTGAGGAAGAACTGGTGCGGGGTGGGCAATAGGGAGATGCCCACAATAAGAGGCCCCACAGTCCCAAGGCGGCGAGACCCAGCTTGCAGAGCTGGGTTCAGAAGCAGATCTGCCCTCCCTGCCCACCCCCTACGGAAATCAACACCTGCAGCCTTTTGACTCCATGCTTTGAAAACACCTGCTCCAGGATGTCCCCAGCAGGCCGGGCTCCCCAGGGGGCGAGCTTCAAGCGTGGGCCCCGCTGGACCCGGTAGGATGGATGTGGGAGAGCCACCCCCTCTGGGCTCCTTGGTGTGTTTCCTGTTAGTCCAGGAAGTTGTGCTGACATGGGGAGGAGATGCAGCCCGGACACCCCTCAAGGCAAGGGCGCCGCACAAAGCGAGGGAAGGGCATCTCGCTCTCAGCCTCCCGGGTTCCTCATGGTGCTCCTGCTGCAGCATACCAGCTCGTGCAGGTTTTGAAGTTTCTCCTTAAAGAGGAAAAGTGGGTGATTGTGTCTCTGAACACCAGGCAGCCTTGGGACTGCTGGCTGGGTATGCTGCCAGCCTCGGGCCCCGCCAGGGTCTGTGTGCTGGGTGCCTGGGTGCTGCCTGTAGCTCTCTTGCCTCAGATGGAACCCCCTGCCTCCTCCTCGGTGTGGGGCAGGGCGGCCTTGGATGGGCCTTGCGGCAGAGTGGATTCCACGGCCCCTCAGCTGCCGGGGCCTTGGACAGATGGGCATCCAGGTGAGGGCCAGGACGGTGGTGGCTGCCCCTGGCTGCGCTTGGAAAGCTTCCAGAGTTAAGGCTGTGAAAATGCCCTTGACCGAGGTAGCCTGCACAGGGGAGGGGGTGCTTACCTGGGAGGAGGGAGGGATGTCTAGGTGAGATGTCAGGCTGGCAGGTGTTTTGGGCAAGAGTACAGCTGTGCGTGTGTGAATGCGTGTGAGGCACGTGGAGTTGCTTCCAGCAGGAATTCCGTCACTGGATCTGTGTGTGCTCTGAGAGCGGTGAGCCTGGAAGCCCAGCACAGCAAGGCCGCAACCCTGAGGGTGTGGTCTCTTGCTCCTGACAGCCTGTTCCACCCCTATGCCTGCTTGGAGGTCAGACACCAAGAGGGGCACATTGCAGTACCCCACACCTCCCTCTCTCCCCAGGGTGAAAGACGTGTGTGGGTGGTGGGCTTCAGGAAAGACCCCATGCGAGAGGGCTTGCTCTCGGGGGCTCCCGCTGTGCCGGTGTGTGTGCAGGCGCGGTTTCCCCACCCCTCCAAACGTGGTCGATGAGGTTAGAGCTCGCACCACTTGGGGCTTGGTGATGCCAACAGGAGACTGAATGGGTGAGTAGCTAGCCTGGGGGAAGCACTGCCAGGAAGTGGGAGGGCACGCTCCATGCAGTGCTCATGCTAGTCTTTTTGGAGCGTCACCCTCTGCACCTCCATGACTGCCTGCATCCTTTGGTTGAATCCCAAGCCTCTGCTCTAAGCAGAGGGAAGCTGTCACCTCCTGCGAGGTCGGAGTACCACTTGCAGACAGTTTTGTTTGGGCAGTAAAATCTTGAGCTCTTGGCAGAAGTTCTGATGAGGCAGAAAGTTTGAGATCTGCCCAGGGCTGTGGCGACTGTCTCAGCTGCCCTGGGTTGTGGGAGTGAACTTCGGGGACCATCCCCTTTGCTAATCTTACTTTCCGAGAGGCCTGGCCCTGGCGTGTCGTTCAGGACACTGAGGGCTCTGGAGGCAGTGGGGCCGTGTGGAGGGTAGAGCTCTGCACACCTGGGGTCTCTTGCCCAGCAGAATGGGTGACAGGCCCTGGGTGGGTATGCACACCTGGACTGCAGGTGGTTTGGGGCACGCGAGGGGTGGGAGACCCTCCTGTTGTGTGCCACTAAAGGAAGGTCACAGAGCAAGAGTGACCCATGTGAGTGCGCAGGTGGCCTGAGGCTGCTACAAGGAGCAGGGCTAGTGTGCAAAAGCGTCCTTCCCTGGCCAGCGGGTCGGGTCCCGGGGTGCGGCTGGGACTGCCTTGTTCTGTTGACTCCAAGTCGGGGAAGCTGGTGGCAGGTGTCCTGGTTGCTGTAATAATGTCAACATCTGCACGAGAGGGGAAAGCTGTTCTGCCTGTGTGTGTGCACATGCGTATGCCATACATACACATATATGTAGCATTCACTGTTAAAGTGATACGCGTTCTATTTTCCATCTTATCTGGGAAGCTATCGGAAGCACTGTAGCATTTTTGGAAAAAATTTTTGAAAGGCAGTGGGTGGGGAGAGAGAGCTTCCGTCGGCTGGTTCACTTCCTAAGTGCTCGCACAGCTGAGGGTGGGCCAGGCTGAAGCCAGGAGCCTGGCACTCAGTCCGCGTCTCCCTCACGGGAGCAGGGACTCAGTGACTTGAAACGCCATCTGCCGCTTCCTGGGGAGTGCGTTAGGAATTAGAGGGAGTTGGAATTAGAAGCAGAATCCGGATTTGAACTTGGGGATCTCTTTCAAGTTCTTTTGTTGTGTGATTAAAAAACAAAACAACAAAAACAAAAAATGAGAAAAAAAAAACCCAAACCCACGTGCAAACCTTTCATGAGCACCAGTGATTCTTACACACGTTTGGGCTTATACACATGGGAGGTCTTAAGTTTTCTTATGCATTTTTAGTGCTGCTTAGAAACCTAGCAAGATTATAATTACAAGTTTAAAGCAATGGTGCACTTTGAGTTAGTCACAGGCTTAATCTGTTGAATGCTTTGTCAAGTTCTCAGAGTACAAGTTCTGGGGGAAAAAAAAGTGTGCCAGTCTCCTATTACGGGTCTGACTGGTTCCTCGTGTCTTTCATTTTAAGTCTCCGTGGGGCTAAAGTGCAGCTCTCCATTAGGGATTTCTCTGTCATTTCCCGACACTTTGAGTGGCTTGCTCAAGTGGTCATTTGGAGGGATGATTTTAAAAACAATTGTTAGGGGGCTGATGTTGGGGCACAGTGGTTTTAAGCTAGCATCTGTGATGTCGGCTTCCCAGTGGGTACTGGTTCGAGCCCCAGCTGCTGTGCTTCAGTGCAGCGCCCTGCCGGTGCACCTGGGAAAGCGGTAGAGCATGGCTCAAGTCCTTGGACCTCTGCCCCCAGGATGGAGACCTGGATGGAGTTCCAGCTCCTGGCTTCAGTCCCGCCTCTTGCAGTCATCTGGGGAGTGAACCAGCAACATCTCTGTAACTCTGCCCTTCAAATAAATTTTTAAAACCCTTTAAAAACATTGATAATGAAGTAATTTGCTTGAAAAGATAAGGCATATCTAGTGCATAACATTTCTGAAAACTTGCCGACTTTCCTTGGACTTCCTGTTGTCTCGTGGATGTCCCTTCCCCCACCCTCCATCCCTGGCCCCACCCCTCGGCAGAGGTTTCCGGGTGGAGCGAGGGGATGCTCTCCAGTTACCGAGGGGCTCCCTCTTGGGTACTGCCGACCAGGAACGCAGTAAAGCCGTGGGCAGGTGTCTACAAGGGTGACCGACGCCCTATTCTCTCCTCTCTGGGCAGGTTGGCCTCATCCAGCTCGGGTCAGAGCAGGTGCTGCTGCAGCCACTCAACAGCTCCCGGGGCCCGTTCAGCAGACAAGAGCATCTGGCCAGGCGCAGATGGTCCTTGCCACCCACCCCGTCCACCAAGGCCCAGGGTGCCGGGCAGCCCTGCCAGGTACTGACAGGTGAGTCTGGGCAACTGCATAGCTGGCACTCTTTGATTCCTCATTATCCCAAGGCTATGACCACCAGATATCAGCTTCCTGAAGACAGTCACTTGTGAATCCACCTTGGTGCCAACCTCACAGATTGTACTCAGACTCATGGAGACTGCCACAGTGTTGCCATGATCGTGAGGGTCCTGCTGGTGCCCAGGATATCATCTGTGCCCTGGCCGTAGCTCACCCAGGATTACTGTGTAGTTCTCAGAATCTTCCATCTGTTGGGTCACTCCCGAGGTCAGGGCCAAGCCAACACGAGCCACAGAAAAGTATCTCCCACATGGTTGGCAGGAGCCCAAGCCCCCGGAGCCATCCTCTGCTGCCTTTGGGGTGCATTGGCAGGGAGCTGGATCAGAAGCAGTGCAGCCAGGCCTCAAACCAGTATTAGTCTGATAGGAGACCCTGGTGTAGCAAGTGGCAGCTTAGCCCACTGTGCTGCAGTACCAGCCCCAAGTTGTGCCTTGGTTTTTATTTTTTATGGTACAGTTCCATCAGTTCAGGGATTTCCCTTCCTTCCCCCACTACTTTTCCCTACATTATTACAATAGTACAGTCCTTCAACTGTCATGGAGTGCATCATTCCTCTGTTTAAGTGTATCGTGACATTGTAGGCATAGCAATGGCGGAAAGTCCAACATTTGGTTGTCAGTATATAATGATTTCTTTGAGAGTCCATCCTTTATTTGGGAATAGAGATGTATATTATTGACCTTGTATTTTGCATGAAGTTTGCCTTATATCAACATATGATATTTGTGCTTTTGGGATAAGCTTATTTCAATCAGCGTAATAGTCTCCAATTGGGACCATTTTGTTATAAATGGTAAATCTGATTCTTTTCAGTGACTAGATAGTATTTCATAGAGTAGATGTGTCAGTTTCACTATGCACTCCTCCTTCAACAGGCATCTGAGTTGTTTCCATGTCTTTGCTATTGTAGACTGTGCTGCTGTAAATGTAGGGTTACAGGTCACTTTCTCAAATGCAGATATATGATATAGTCCAAGAAGTGGGAAAGCTGGTTGATGTGTCTTTTTTTATTTTATTTTATTTTATTTTATTTTATTTTATTTTATTTTATTTTATTTTATATTTGATGATGTTTACATAGATCCTACAATTCTCCCCATGGTTGGAGTTCTGAGTCCAGTGGTTCATGGAAGGATCCTCAAAGAAACCTCATCTGAAATGTCTCACATCTCACTCTTGGATGTGCTCGCCAGTACAGGATCTGGCTCTGTCACACACATCAGCCTATGCAGACCATTAGCAGCAATTGCTGGGTCAGTTCTGTCTCCAGCCCACTCTCATATATAAACTAATGGATGCTGCAGCCCAGCCCAACTCTTTCTGCCACACACTCAGCCCTCAAGTACACCAGCGGGAGCTACAGCCTAGTCTGAGCAACTCCAACAACCCCTAATTGGTCTTCCCCTAGCCCTGGTTCCTATATTTGCAAGTATATATATGTATCAGCAGACTGGTCCAGTCTGTCCCACATCCCATTCAGCTCTCATACATGTCAATGGGCATTGAAGCCTAGCTCAACCCAATCAATCCCACTATCCAACCCACACTCATGCTGGCAGGTGCCACCACCTATCTAGCCATGCCTTCTCCTAGCCCTGATTCTCATGCTCACCAGAGGGAATTGTAACATATCAAAGAGGTGCCCACAGTTTCCCTACTGGACCAGTCCCAGTCCTGTATCCTGCACTTTCCAGGTGGTTCCATAGTCTAGCTTGACAGGATTTGCCCCCAAGTCCCAGTACTTGCCAGCTGATGCTGTGGCAATGACCAACCAGTGTGCACTTCCTCTGGCTTATTTATGTACTAGTGGGTACAGTTGGTTAGCTCATCCTGGCTCTCCCTTAACCCAGCTTATATGTAGACCAGGTGCTAGAGTCTCTAGTTCAGTCTGGCACACCCCAGACCCAGTCCACAGTCATGCCAAGGGACACTACCGTCATGTCCAGCCCATTCTGCTGGGTCGTCTCCATTACAGCTCTTGCACTCACCAGTGGGAACCACAACTCTGCCAGGAAATCCCTTTAGGTCCCCAGATAGGCCTGTTCCCAGCTACAGATCTTGCAAGTGCCAGTGGTAGCTCTGACCCAGCTCGGCATAGTGCATCCCCCTTCTTGGCCTTTGTCATCAGATGCTGCATCTTGGCCTATACTGGCCTGCCCCAGTCCCATTTCATGCTGGCAGATGATTCAGCCTGGCCCTGCTCAGTCAGCTCACATTTCTGTCTCATGCAAACCAGTAGCTGTGATAGCCTAGCCTGGCGTGACTTGCATTACAGCCTGGCTCCTACATCTGCCAATGGGCTAAAGTTAGTTTGCCCCTGCGTGGTCTGTCCTCCTCTAGAACCAACTCACACACTTGCTGACAGGTGGAGTTACCTTGCCCAGCCGGACCAACCCCAGGCCTGAACCACATGCTCACCAGCAGGAGGGTGCTACAGCCCACCAGCGGTGTGCCCCAAGTTCCTCTACCAGGCCATCTCCAAGACACAGATCTCCTATGTGCCAGTAGGTGCTAGGCCCTTACTCAGCGTAGCCTGCCCTGTCCACTCTGACCTTTGTATGAGCTGGTGGACGTTGTGGCCTGGCCCACCCCGCACATAACCTGTGGATGTTGCAGCCTGGACCAGCCCTGCTTGTTCCCAGCACAAGTACACATGAGCATCTTGAGGTTCCATGATTATGCCAGCTCAGCCTATCACCATCCCCAGCTCTTGAGCAAGCTAGTAGAAACTGTAGTTCCACAGGGGTGAGCCCACCTATCCCCCATAGAATCTGTCCCCAACCTAGTTCTCTCACATGCTCCTCAGTGTCATGACCCAATGTAACATTACCTGTCCCTTATTCCGACTCTCACTGGCAGGAAATGTGATCCAGCCCTGCCAGGCAGGCCCCCAGCCCAGCTTTAGTGTATGCCCATGAGTGATGATCTACTGTGATGTGTGCTAACTATCCCTGGTGAGTTCTCCCACATGGGCTGGTGCATTTGACCCACAAAAGTTCTGAGGCTTCCACCCTCAGAACCATGTGTTCTCCGCCCCCTCACTTATGTAAGTACAGTGACATTGTGGATGGGAGTCCCTCAGAAGTTATTCCTTGCCAACATACTCCCCCAGTGGTCTTCCCTCCACACAGCTCCTTACCCACCTCCCTGATCAACCCACGGAGCTCGCACACCTAGGAAACCCCCAGGCTTGCTCCGCCTATCTGGACGGGACACCTCAGGTCTTCCCAGGCTCTCAGCAGCATTCTCCCCCTTAATGCCCTGCAAGCCTGCAACCCCAGCCTCCTAGGAATGCAAGGCTGGGTCCACACCCACATGTAGCCAGCTTACCTGGCAGCTGCTCACAGCCATGGAGCATGGGCCTGAGAGAGCTCCTGCCCTGCTTGGGCCCCCTGCACCCCACTGGCAGCCCCATGTGGCTGCTCTGGTTTTAAAGGCAGTTCTCTTATGCAGCCTCTGGGCTGGTGCTGGTGTTATCTTCATGGGCAAATGTGGGCTGTCTATCTTTAGTGTTCCTGTGGCCTGGGGAATGCTCTGCTTGTGTGATGACTTTGGAATTAATGTGCTTAGAACCTAGTCGCAGCCGGCACTCCCCCACAGCACCTTCTGTGGGCAGGGAGGAACCGCCCCTGTCCCAGACACTAGGGTTTCTCTCTGCCCCTTTCTGCTGTACCCTAACATGGCAGGGAGAGTTATCACACTTCCTCAGGGAGCACAGGCCGTGGTGTGGCTCTGTGTTATCACGTGCACCCGGGATGGCGCAGTCTCAGTGGATCTTTGTGTCTTCATCTGATCTTGGTGTTGACCTAAGCATTGAGGCAGGAGGAGGCTTCTTACCCTGGCTATCAGTGAGTGGACAGACACAATCCCAGGGGACAGCTGCTGCTTACACTCTGCCCTCACCCCACACCCCCTGGTGGCAGTTAGTTGGTCTGGGCCACAGCCCAGCACCTGTGGACATGGGGGCACTGTGGCTGCACTAAGGACAGTGAGTGAGTCTGGAGCCCATTGGCCCTCATGTGAGACCCTTTGTATGGGGGTTAGGAGCCAGGTCCTGTCCCTCCTCCTCTTCCACCCAGGCAGTGCTCCCCAGTGCTGCTCTGTGATCAAACAAGTGTGTGTGCAGATGAAATGAGGGGATGTATGTCTTTGGAGCGGATGTCAAGGGTTGCTGACTGATTCTTGTGTCTGTATTTCTGTCCCTCGGGCTGGTGCCAGGGAAGCTCTTAGATGGTTGTTTAGGCTTTAATGAGTTCAGTGTAATTCGTAGAAGAACCTAGGTGGGGTATGTGCAGTGCAACTCAAGGTTGTAGAACGCCATTCCTGAATTTGCCTAAATGTATCTCCCCTTTGCTGATGCTTCAGCACGAAGGTGGCTGGGCACTGGGGCTCAAGGGGCAACCTGTGCCCCAGGAGGTGAGGGCCCGGGGCTCATGGAGCCGACCTGGGTCCCAGGAGGTGAAGGCCCGGGTTTTACAAGGCCAACCTGTGTCCTAGGAGGTAAGGGCCTGGGGCTCTCGGAACCACCTGTGCCCCAGAAGGTGAGGGCCTGGGGCTCATGGGGCTGACCTGTGTCCTAGGAGGTGAGGGCCTGAGGCTCTTGGGACCACCTGTGCCCCAGAAGGTGAGGGCCTGGGGCTAATGGGGCCGGCCTGGGGCTCATGGGGCTGACCTGCGTCCTAGGAGGTGAGGGCCTGAGGCTCTTGGGACCACCTGTGCCCCAGAAGATGAGGGCCTGGGGCTCATGGGGCTGACCTGTGTCCTAGGAGGTGAGGGCCTGAGGCTCTTGGGACCACCTGTGCCCCAGAAGGTGAAGGCCTGGGGTTCACAGGGCTGACCTGTGTCCTAGGAAGTGAGGGCTTGGGGTTCACAGGGCTGACCTGTGCCCCAGGAGGTGAGGGCCCGGGGCTCAAAGGGCTGACCTGTGCCCTGGG